GTAAGGGTATGATACAGCATCAAATAGTGTAGGGCACTATATCAAAGGAATTTTATTAAAGCAATTGTGTCAAAGGTAGCAAAGAGAAACAACCACTAAGCAGAGTTTGATGTAACTCACTATATGACCACAGCAGGTTTCTCTCTTTCTCTTGACCCCTGGGAGTGACCAGGAAGAGGTTTCCCAGCTCCACACACACTCCAAGAGAGTCTGTGGAATAATCTGCCATATGAAAGTTGGACTGGGCTTTTATGAAGTGTTTGACTGCCAGTCACAGATTTCCAGGCCAGCCAGCAGCTTATCTGTCAAATCCTGCTTCAAAAAGCAGGATGTGTGTTTGGAGCTGGGTGAGCCAGGCTGATTTTAGGATAATTCACCACCCAACCAGTGTCAGCAGTAACTCACCCCAAATAACTTGCGCTGTTTGCGTTTCTCTGACTGGATTTTAGGTCTTGCCAGGGTAAATTATCCTGCCACAGAGGCATCTCTCACTGTTTGGGTCCTAACAGTGGGTGATGCTCCAGAAGGGAGTCTCCAGGCTCCCTGGTGAACACTGGCACCAGCTCCCCAGAGCAGTTTGCTTATCCCAAAGGAAGGTGTAACAAGAGCTGACACAGAAATATGGCTTCTTGAACTGCTTTTAAAAAAAAATCAATTCTTACCATATGAATGTGAGTCCATTGGGGTGTAATTCCATCACTGCAATCGGGTTACTCCAGGCTTTAAATTGTCCTTGATCACAAAGGAACTCCAAATGATAAATGAAACGTTCTTTGTTATTTTGGGGTATTTGAGCCAAGTTCTTGGTGTAGGTCAGGTACAGACAAGTTCCACAGGCTTGTTCACTTCAGGGTTTAATTGATTTCTATGTAAATCTACTGCTGTGCTGTACTTGGATTTCTAATACTCTGCTTATAAATTTAAAATATCCCTTTGAACTATTGCTAATTGGTAATTATTCACTGGTTGTCTTTTAGTGATCAATTAGTGATTGTTTATCAACATCTGGCAGCTGCATCATCTCAATGCCTTGAAGTGATTTGTGTTAATGAATTAAACCTCAGAAAATAGAGACCACTTTGGTTCCCAGGCATTGACACAAAACCTCCTCAAAAGAGTAACAATTGCACAGAATAACAGTTTAACTTGGGGAATGGAGAATAATAACATATCCAGTTGAAAGTGTGAGGGAATTTAGAGGGGGAAAATGTAATTACCTGATCTGGAAAGCAGCCAGAGACGGTGTTTAAAAATCTCATTCATCTGAAATGTGTCTGGGAATCCTTAATGACTGAGGGATCATAAGACATGGCACATGTTTGCTGGGCTTGCAAACTAAAAAGAGAATAAAAAAAAATAATAAAGACAAGCTGTATTTTTTTTCCTGCTTCTAGAAACATCTTCTGCTATTTCAGGAACCTGTGTGACCCACACTTGGAGTTATGACCCAGTGCAGGAAAAAAAGCAGAAGGAGGAAAGATGCAGCTCCAAAATGAAACACAAGTTCTCAACACTTGTAAGAAAATAAAAAAAAAAAAAAAAAGCTTTTGGAAAAAGAAAGAAAATTAAGAAATGTGTTTAATTTAATTTTCATTACTCTGACCTGTGGAAGAAGGCAAAGAAAATGCTTTTATTTCTTTATTTTAACAATTTATTTCCCCCTGTTAGAGAGCAGGACTAGCCTTAATCTTCTAAAGATATTCTTCCTCCAGTCTCTGCTGAATGTGAGGTACGTGAAATTTAGGATTAGTAAAGTTTATCAGATTAAGAAATCAGTGCTGGACAAATAAGGGGATGCCATTATCAGTGTCAGTAATTGCTGCTTTCTTTAATAGCAAATTACAAGCTCCTGTTCAATGAATCTGAGGGAATAAAAGCCAAGTTCAGAAGTACTTGTGATGCTAATTAATTATAAATCCATTGCTGGCAGATTTAAAGCTGTACCAGCAGCTCTTATCCACACCTGGGCAGGTTTGAGGATTGGAAACTTTTTTTTTTCTTTAATGCAAGAAGGGAAAAGCAATTTTGAAAAGTTTCAAGGGACTGGAGAAGTTAATCGAACAGCTTTGGGATTCACATGTGTTGATTCACACATGACACACACCATGAGGTTTCAAGTAGTTTTTTGGGCAGTAATAAACTAGAAAGCAGCACAACCAAGCAAAGGATTGTTTTAAACAGAAACTGTTATTGCCTCATTTGTTAATGGTGGAAAACTCATCACATGTTTCTTAAAGCAATGCAAAGCTGAAATTTGGAGGGGTTTTTATCTGAAAACTCGGTGTGATCGTAGCCAGGGTAGTTCTAGGGCAGAAAAGGGCACTGTTATCATCATCACCTTGCAGAGAGAAGCTGTGAGTCTAAAAATCACCATCACCCAGGAGAAAAATAACCCCCCCAGTGCTGGCTGTGTTTGATCCCTGGTATCCCTTCAGAGCATCCAGCTCTGGGATCATCTCTGGGTTCAGCTCCAGTGCTTTAATTAGCAGCAGGGGACATCCCTGAAACAAAAACTGGAGCAGCTAATGAGGATGGGGGGTTTCTGGATGGGACTGGGATTGAGGGCTGGGGGAGTCAGGGGGAGACCTTAATGATTTTAATGATTTTGTGGCCTTTGGCAAAGGTCTGAGGTGAGAGGGGGGCAGGGGCTGCTCAGGTTTGGGGTCAGATAAGAAGGATCTCATCTCTGGGTCGTTACTGTTTAAAAGCAGCCTGGGGCTGTCCCAGTTGAGCCCCAGCAGGTTTTTTGGCTGTGGTGTATTCTGGAATAGAGACAGAATGTCAGGGAGGGTTGGAACTAGAGAAAGTCCCTTCCAGCCTAAGCCCTTCTCTGGTGTTTCTGTGATTTCCCATCCTTTCTGTGCTCGCTGATAACCAGCACAACTGAGCTGTGTCCTCTTGGCCAAACCTGCCCTGTCTGTGACAGATGATGTGGCACCAGATTTGCTGGATTTCCCTTCTGCCAGCACAGACCAGTCCTTTGCTCCCAGCAGCTCTTCTTGATCCTTTTGCCCCATCCCAGAATCCCAGGCTTGCTTCAACCCCCAAACTTGCAGCTCCTCTCCTGATATTTCCTTTTCTCTGTGTTTTCCTGAAGCAAATACCCCCCTGGATGGACAGGCCTGCTAAGCCCATTTAGTTCATCGCTGGGCCCAGCTGAAGGTCACCCTGAAAACACTCAGAATTCCTACTGAGCACTATAAATATGCTTTTGATTCATCTTCTCCTGTCCCTTCAATCACAGGGGATGGAGGAGGTGGCCCAGCAGCCCCTCGGCAGCGATGAGTCACTGTCCTGGCTCTCCTGCTTCATCAGAGCACTATTATTCAACAATAATTGTAATTTATGCCTTGAAAGATGCTGGGGAAGCTGCACTCAGGGCTTTAAAATTGTCCCCAGGGTGTGATGGGTGAGGGTTGGGCGGCACAGGGTGAGGTGAGGGGATGTTTGGGGGCAGTGGGAGCCCCTGGAGAAGGGGGTTCTTGGTGGTTATAAACTCTCCTGTGTGTCAGTGG